ACTATCATAATCCATTGGTGAAGGGATACTTGACTTGAGTAAAAGAGCAAAGGATCTACTGTATCAAATGAAATTTGAGTAAATATAATTTTTATATTTTGTTAAAGCATTTAATAGACTTATGTTAATTATTAAAATTTTATTAAATAGATATTTAGTTATCTTTAGGCTATCATTAACTATAGAATAGCTATCAAAAGAAATAATCTATTGTTAAAGAGAGCTGCAAAGAGAATTTTTTCACCAGTATGATTAGCATGACGCTATCTAATATACTGTCTAATAGAAGTTGCAGATAAAGTACAACTGATGTAACTTGATCCAATCATATGAGATATTATAGAAAAGAATTGTGTAGTATCCCGATTAGGACTTTTTAATCAGCATCAAGGATTAGATGCAATGTTGGAAGAGATAAATAAGACTCTAAAAATATTGATACCTCTAATTCCACAGATATGTCATTGGAAAATAGCTGCACAGAATTGTAAAAAATTCCTTCAGGTAATTTATTGTATTTGAGTTTAATAACTTAAGTTTATAATTATTTATTATTTAATTAAACATTTAGTTATGAAATAACTTTTTAAGTCAATTGAATATAACAATGTTCAAATAAGTGGTCTAAGAACCCGATCATAACCAATTACAAAATATTAATAATTTAGAATTCGTTTAAGAAAAGATAATTTTGTTAATCTTATAGAATCAAGAACTATTTGTAAAAGCTTGGGAGAAGAATATAAATTAAGTGAACAGATGACAAATTTTACCAGTTTAGCAAAGCAAGCTCAAAAGAAATTTATTACTAAAGTCTTTTATAACAATAATTCAAATTCTTTATTAGGCTAATTCTGATTACCAAACAAGAAGAAGTCATACAAAATATCAAAGAAAATATAACTAAAGCAGAAATCATTTGTAAGATTGAAGCTTTTCTTAAACAAATGAGTAAAAGTGTTTAAAAAAGTATCTTAGAATAAAGTCTAAGAAGCGTAATGAATTGTTAATTATATTAGAAGAGGTAAGAACTTTATTTAATTTAGATAATGAATATGATGATAGTGATTATTTTGATAATATGAAAGAATAAAGTTAATTCAATTGATAAGCATATATAGATCGCATATGTGAAATTAAAAATATAAAGTAAATAAATGTACACCCTTTTTTATTGCTTTTTGTAATGATTTTAATAAATACAAAAGGTTTTTTTTTTGTAATATATACATTTCTTTATACTGTCAAGCTATTTTATAAATTTAATCTATATGGGTTGATTGCTAGGAAAATCAGGTTCTGTGAATTTTTTAGCAAAATTGAGATTTTTATTGCATTTTAGTTTTTGATGTTATTAGATTAAAATGTATTAAGCTCTTAATTTTAGTCAAAAATTTCTCAGAACCTGATTTTCCTAGAAATCCTTCTATATACAGTTATAAAAAAAATTTATTATAAAAGAGATTCAAGCATATATACAAGATTATATAATAAATTTTAGAATAGTCTAGAACTTTCTGATTGATATTTTTATACTATAAAAGGTATGATCGATATCATCCATTTTTGGTAAAATCCCTAACTGTATTAGTATATTAACACACAATTCTGACTAGCTCATCCGTAATGCAGAACAAGTTAAATAGGCAGACATGTGTGTGAATTTTTTGTATTATCTTTAGGCAATCAAAGTAGCTCTGGGATATATATATCGAACTGACATTGTAGTAACACCCCTTAATAAAATAAGGGATAATTTTCACCTGCACTTTTTTTTAGTCAGTACATATATATATCTTTGAATATAGGTACTGTACCTCTATCTGAAGAAAACGAATCTACCTTAGGGATTTTATTAGGCTTCAAAGCTTAGAATGTAATATTTTCACGATAAGGCTTTGGACTATTTGCAATTATCTAATATACTGATTTGAGATACATATATTTTGACTCTTTAAGATTGTGACTGATAAGTAGTAAATCATCATACCTGATATAGCACGTTTCTTCTTTCTTCCCATTAAACATTCGATAAAGCTTATTTCTGAGTATGAGATTGAGAACCTCATTAATTTTTCCTGAATTAGTACAGTCACAGATCAGTAAAATGAAAAGCTATTGGGAAATACTTGAATGTTCATTATATTTTTTGGCATCTTTAATCTCATTAATATAATATATAAGCCTATCAACTGGTTCAAGCTTTTTATTTTCATGTTAAACTATTACTAATGATATTCTAAAATAATCTTGCAAATTTGTGAGACTACGCGGTCTCAGAAAAATGCCAAGAAGATAATTTTCTCTAATCTAACTTGAAGAATTACTTAAGAATCCTTTCTCGATTAGAGTATATCTGATAAAGGATAAGAGATCAGCTATATAGGGAACTTCAATGAGACATATTTCTTGATTCTTACAAGTGTCCCGCTTCTTTTGATCATGCTGTCTTTGTGTTTCTAAAGTTTCATTCTCCTGATGATATAGACTGTTGTGACGATAGTGTTGAAATCCCTGGTATTTAAATGCAAAATGCAATTTCTTATTATACCTATCGAGATGCATTTCATCCAAAAAATTAGGCTTACATGATGGGAATTTCTTACCTTGAAGATCCTCAAAAATATATTAGCAATTTCTTTCTCTAGTGTAGTAACATAGTAGACATCATTCGAATTTTTTCATGATATATTTTAACAGATACTCCTATTAATATATATCATTCTCACAAGACCAAAGATATATACTATGACTATTTATTCGTCCAATCCTTCCTAAACATTATTTATCATGTCTTTTGGCATAATCAATGACTTGATCTAGTTCCCTTTGAGAACCATAAGTAATATGCACAGATAATATGCTTTAGGGCAGATACCTAACTTTTTTTTGGATCAGCTATTAACATGAGTTTTTCTCACACAAACTCCCGCTTTGGTGTATATTCATCACCTTCAAGATAATATAAAGCTGGTTCATTTTTTATAACAACCACTTTTCAGATTTTATAAAGACTTGAATTAAAAGTGGAATCAGTTGTCCGCCTTTGATTTTTTATACCTCCTTTCTATTCTGCATTAGCAAGTAAGTAGCGGACAGTATCACCTTTTTTTAACGTTATTTCATCTTTTTCAACTGGATGCTTATATTTTGTAGATGGTTTAGATTCGACTCATTTTAAAGCAATTACTTTCACAGGTTCAAGTCCCTATTTTTCTGATTCTAGTTCTCAAATAAGATGCATAGGATAGTTATTTAAATAGTTAATAACTACTGGTAGAAATCTAACCCATGCTCTTATTAGTTTAAGATCAAAAGATATTGATTTAATAGCATACTGGATCTTATATATAATCTTTGAAAGTATTTGATTGAAATGCTTCACAAATGCAAGACCTTAATGGGAATATAGACTGACCACTCAAATTGTGACATTATGCTTTTGCATTAGTCAGGAGATTTTGCCCATAAATTTATGATCTTCATCACATTGTAGAAGCTTTGGCTAGATCAATGAATTATTTTGAGTACCATATACCTTTCTAAACACTTTAGTAACTTCTGAGCAATTCTTTAATATGAGCAAAATAGAAGCTTTATATCAGAAAGCGCAGTCTATTATGTTAAGTACTGCTTTATATTTTTTACCTTTATAGTAATCATAAGTGAGAAATAGTATATCGCAGTGGTGTACACAATTAAGACATGTTATTTACCTATAGCTGACTCTAGGGATGTATTTTGAAGAGGTTTTATTAGTCTGGTATGACTCTTAATTTTTTAAAAAATCTTTGCATTCACTTAAGCGGAATTGGTGCTCCTCTTTTTTATATGCATCTTTCAAAGATTTAGGATTGGAATAATAGCCAGTCAGACGATAATATATTTCACGTAATATGATATTTTTTTCAATACTTTGAGCCTCATTTGGATCTATTACAATTTGCAGTTGGCTTATTCTATTTCTCTTTTTATAGTATCAAAAAGAATAGCATTCTGCAGACCTTACTCAAGGTAGAGAAGAACATGTGAAGAATATAAAGCTGAGCTGGAAGAGGAAATCTTCTATCTTCATAGTGAATTGCAGACAGAAGTTGATAGTAATCATTAGAATGAAAAGCAGATCAGAGAGCTAGAACGCGAATATACCTGTTATGAGCAAGAAATTCAGAATCTCAATAGGGAAATAGAACATCTTGAGAATGCTTCAAAAGAAGAAATATAAGAACTGAAATCTAAAATTTTCACTCTAAAATCTTAGCTATATCAAGTCAAGAAGGATGTGAAAGATAGGGAAAAATATATTTCTACTTTAGAAAATCGCTTGGTAGAGTTCGAAGAGCAGGTGAAAAAATTGCAATGTCAGATCAAAACTATCTCATCACGAAAAAATTCTCTAGAACGAGGGAATTCTTCAGACTTGTATAATCCTAATATTAACTTAGAAATGGCTACCATCACAGAGCTAATAAATACTATAGATGGCTATGTAGATAATAAGACGACAGCTAGAGATATTTTAATAGATCAAATAAAAAGAGCAACAAGACAAATTCGTCGAAAAGAAAATAATTTATATCAGGATTTAGCCTGTAAGCAGAGAAGGCATTATGATGCAAAGGCTAAGCGTGACAATGAAATCATCTAAAGGCAACTTGCTGAAGAAGCAATGGATAGGATTATTGGTGATCTCTATCAATATCAAACTAATACTCAAAACCAGGTAAATAGAATGATAGATAATATAGCAAGAAAGTAAACCTATATAGGTAAACTGATACAAGAAAAATTTGCCTTATAATTATTGTATCAGCGTAATGCTTACCATCTATAATATTGTAAAGGAGATATAGGTCTATTAGAATATAATTGAGATAGGCTTTATGAGTGATATAAAAAATGAAAAAATAAGATTCAAGCAGAATGTCAGAATATTTTAAATTTGCAGGTACAAATATTTGCATTATAAAACAATCTTCCATATATAGAAATGGCAGGGTATGCAACCAAAAGATTCTCAGGTAAAGCAGATGAAGATATAGATAAATTCATAAAAGATTACAGACTCTATCTTACAGCGGTTAAAATTACTACTGCTAATGCAGGTGGCAAACAGAGAGTTTTAGAACTATTTCAGTCATGCTTGACAGATGAGACTTCATATTGGATCAAAAATAAACTTATAGGTAAAAAATGGCGATTGAATCATGTAAGATATAGGAATACTTAAGCAAATATGGTCACTGTAGTAGTCTTAAATAATATTAACATAATGGCCGCTATGATTAATGCACTAGATGGTATCCTATCACCAGCATTACCAATTGGAGTTACTGGCGCTACAGTTATTTTAGCACATAATATTCATACAAATGAGAATTGGTCTCTTGCTGAAGGGTGTCTTGTAGATGCTAATACAGCAACTAATATACCAAATAGAGTTTTAAATAATAATAATTATATCCCGTATTGCAGGGACCATAGTATCCCAGGTATAATACATATTAAGAGGAGTTGGAAGCTATACCCAGAATGTATTACAAGGGGAGATACAGTGCGGATACTGTATATAGAAGGATACAAGAAAACTCTGCTTACTTTTAATAGAGATCACCCACAAGTTTAAGGTAAAAATTATATAGAATAATCAAAAAAACTGGTTGAATTTATAAGATAAATTTACTTAATATTAAAAAATGTAACTGAAATTTCGTGGTAAATTTTTTTTATATAACTGATAATATATGGTAAAATGAAAGCATTTTTTAAAATGTAACTTATAATTAATAAAGTAAAATATATTCTTTAAAGATATTACATTTATTTATAAGGTAAAACTTAAAATGTTTATATGATTAATTAGGTAAATTATCTAACAATGTTTATTTAAATATTTTTTATTTACGCGTGAAATTGTAAATTGTTTATGTAAATAAAACAAAAATGGGAAAGTTTAAAAATATAAAAAATATACTGCAAATAAACCAGTAATAAAAAAGCCTAAAATAGTCTATACACTTGATGATATTATTTTTAAAAATTGTGATGAATTAGAACGTTACAAAAGATTAAAAGAACACACACATTTTTTAGAAATTATTAATGAAACAACTGTATGATGCATGTGTAATAAAGAGGTTAAACTTGATAAATCTTATTATGCTTATAATCTAAATAATCACTCAAAAAGTAGTTTGTGCAATTTTACAGCTACAAAACAATCAATTTTAATTTCTTTTTGGAAAAATCAAAAGTTAAAAGAACAAAGATCAAGCGAATTACCACGTATCAGTGTTGCTTGTTCAGGTTTAACAGATAAAAAGTATCACAATTATATTCTTTTAAGTCCTTTACAATATGGTGGTAGTCGACGACCTGATATTTTTGCATATGAATTATTTCCAGAAAAATTTCTAAATCAAAAAAATTATTCATGGCATGTTTTAAATGATAATCAAAAAACAATTCTTAAAAGAAATTTATTTGCTTACTATCAGTGAAAAATTGATAAGGATCTGGTTGCTATATTTAGTATCAAAAGTTCAAATTTTACTACAAATAAATCTGGTATTTGTGATGAGTGTTTAGCTCTTACAGCTAACCTCCGACTTAAAGATGCTATCAATGTGATAAATATCTGGAATACTGTTTGTTAATATATTTATATAAATATTAAATACATTAATTATTTATTTTATTATATTTCAGGAATGACATACTAGTAATACAGCTAAATATATTTCAAATAGTTATTTTGATGTTAGATTTGTTAAAATGCTTAAAAACCAAAATTTGAGAAAATTGTATTAGGTATCTGCAAATTCTGATGAAGCTGAAATTTGGCTTCAACTGGCTAAACTCAGAAGAAATAGAGCTTTTACTACTAACAAGATTTTCGAAGAATTAACACATTTAATGATACAAATAAAAGAACTTGAAATAGTAGGAAAGCGTAAACTAGAATTCAGTATAATAAACATTTACTCCAATTTTTTAGCCTAATTTCTGAAAAATCTCGCACATATGAAATATTTAAACAAGCATTAGCTGGTACAAGTTTATCTTTAATTAGGCAAGATATCATTATAATTACAAACCTTAATAATATATTAGTATAATAAATAGGTTGATCTTTTGATTTTCAGATAGTTTCATAGTAAAGATCAGAATATTTTAACGAATCCTGAAATATCCTTTGAAAATATTGCTCAGTTTGCAAAGGTTGTCAATAAATTGTAATGGAAAAAACCAGTAGTTCTTATGACAGACTGTACAAAATTACAATCAAAGGTAGTCTATTCACAAGAGTTTGATGGTATAATGGGTTCCATTTTACCAGCCAATCAGACGAAATGTGAAACATATGATGATATTTATCAAACAATGAAAAAAATCAAAGAACAAAATGCTGTTGCTACTTAAATTCGTATTTTTTTGCTTAAAGTTTATTTTTTATTATTATTATCAATAAGTCAAAATATGTTGTCAAAGTTGAAATTTCATAAAACATTCTAGATACTAATATCTAAGATTCCACCAGTCATAATCACAGCATTACCTACTAAAAGTGATGTAATAGTGAAGGAAATAAGTAATCAATTCTAATGAAATTATCTACCTTTTAAATCACCAAAGAAGTGCAATAATACTATCAATTTCGACTAAACCTGAGGAGCTCTTATTCAATAATAATAATGAACTGGATGTATTAAAAGCATTAACTATTCGTGAATCTCATAATGCATTTTTAAGAGCCAATCATTTATGTAGAATTCAAAACAGATCAACTTTTAATTTGGATGAAAGTTCACAAAACAGAATTAAAAGAAATGCTGCAAATGAACTTGTACATAGCCTTTAAGAAAATAATTCTTATATTGAAAGCTGACCAAGACTTAAACACTGGAAAATGAGAAAACATGTAGAAAATATTAATATCTCTAGAATAATTTCAGATAATTATACATGCTATTATTTTTTCTATTTAAAATTGATATTAATTATATTTTTTGCAATAGTTTAACATCTTGGAGATGCTGGTGTATCTGAAGAATATCAATTGGAAGATTATGGACTAGTTATTGTGTATATAAGAAAAAAACTTTGTGTTGACCGGATTCTTGTTAAATATCAAAAAATTAATGATCGGCATTCTTATGTACATTCTGATGTAAATTCAGTAGATTCTCTTTTATTTATTTCTGTTATTCTTTATCGTTATTTATCTGGAAGTTACTTTACATGTCAATTACCTACAGATAGTAACCTATTTATCTATTTATTCTTTAAAAATATTGTTTATTATCTTGGTAAAGCATCATCTTTTAACATCACTAATTATGAGATGCTTATACTTAATATTAGTGATAGTAAGATTTTTTCTTTTTTCAACAACAAAAGGTAATTGAAATTTTAAAAACAATTTATAACTAATAAATATTAATATAATTTACATTTATTATATTACCTAATAATTTATAATGTTTTTAATTTCTAATAATTAAAAAATACAATAAAATCAATTTTCAATATTATCTAATTATTAATGTTTCTGAATTTGTAAGGTAAAATTACATATAATTTAAAAAGGGTAACTGAAAGGTCGGTAAAATGAATTAGTAAGAGAAAATTTTAAGTAAGATAAATTTATATATAAATCTTAAAAATTTTACGGTGACCTATCTTAAAAGTAAACGGGGTCCTGATACAAGGTTTGTAAAGTATTCCAGATACTTACTATGTATAATATCCAGTTATTTGAACATCTCTTCAGGACATATAAATCGTGTTTTATCTCTATTTTTTGTGTAATAAATTCTGTACACTCTTATTTTTTTGTCTTTTATTTATAACATAAAAAATTGTAAAAATAAAAAATAGTTGTTATTGATAATAAAAGAAATAAAAAAACACATAACTGCTTACCACAAAAAACACAGTGACAATAAAATATAAAAGAAAAATTAATGGTAGTGCACTATTTGAAAAATAATGGGAGAAATAAGTATGGAACTACCAAAAAATTTAATATTCAATCCAAACAAATGCATGACTGAAATAAAAATAAAGGAAAATTATTAGCAACTGCACCTCATGTTACTAAACTTCATCTAGGTAAATCTGCTAAATATCCAAGCTTAGAAAATGATTTATTTATATGAGTTAGTGAAAGAAAAACAAATCAAAATTCTGTTAGTCAAAAATTGATTATCAAGAAAGCCATTACATTGTCTAAAAATCGAGATTTTTTAGCAAATAATCTAAATATTACTGAATTCAAATTTTCAAGAAATGGCTTGATGGTTTTTTGAGAAGATATGATCTTTGTAAATGTCGTAAAATAATGGTAGCACAATAATTACCACCAGATTTGCTTGAAAAACAAAATGTTTTTTTGAGTTATGTTTATATAGAAGGATTCAACATGATTATCCATTACAATACATTAGTAATATGAATGAGATATTATTATGGTTTGATTTACCAAGTAATACTACCATTGATCACAAAGGTACAAAAATGGTTAGTATTTGTATAACTGGATATGAACACTCATTTTTTACAGTTGTACTTGCATGTATGGCTGATGGTAAAAATCTTTTAGCAGTTTGTATTTTTAAATCAAAAAATGTATTAAGAAAAAATTTTCCACATGGTATTTCTATTCAAGCTAATGAAAAGGGTTGGATGAATGAGGATGAGATGTTATGATAGATTGAAACTGTATAGACCTCAAGAAATCCTTTTAGTAATTCACATTTCATGTTGATATTGGATTCTTTTCATGATCATATAACAAATCCTGTTAAAAATCAGTTGGTAGAAAAGAATACAAATATTGTTATAATTCCAGGTGATTGTATATCCAAATTGCAACCATTAGATGTTGCAATTAATAAAAGCTTTAAATCTAAGGTAAAATTGCAAAACATATTTAATTTATTTTTAATATGTGCTGTATTTCATATTTATTTATAATTTGCAGGTTAAAGATCGATACAATGATTAGATGTTATCTACTATTCATAATCTTACTCTAGTTGGAAGGATTAAAAAACCTTCTTATTCAACAGTTGCAACATGGGTTAAAGAATTGTGAAATGAAGTTGATGAAAATATTATTTGAAATTCCTTTAAATGTTGTGGAATTTCAACAAAAACTGATGGCTCAGAAGATGATTGCTTATTTAATTATAATACATTATTAGATCTGATGAATGATAATAATGAGGTAGAAAATTTAAATTATTTAAGTAATGATAACAAAGAAGTATATTCTGAAGAAAATGATTATGAAAATGAATAGAATATTGAAAATGATAATGGTAATGAAATTAATGAAAAAGAATATGAAGAAGAAAGTGAAGCAGGAAACGAAGTTGAATACCAAGGATCAACTAATGAAGAAGAACATTGTATATTAAAAAATTTGAGAGTACATTATAAAGGATATTAATAATGTAGTTGGTTATGGTAGTTTATTT